TTTTGGTCCATGCCATCTTGGGAATCCAAAGCGCCCATCCGCATTGGAAGGCCTTTCTGACAGAAGCTTGGGACGTAGCGAAACAATGGAAGCTTGCGGAGCCGCCAAAGCTCCGTCCCCCCTTGCCACGCGCGCTGCTGCGCGCCATGGTCGGGCTCTGTCTCGCCTGGGACTGGCCGGTGATGGCGGCCCTGCTGCTCATGGGCTTCACGATGTTCCTCAGGCCTGGCGAACTGCTGGCGTCACGCCGCTGTGACCTGTCGCTTCCATGCGACCGTCTCGAAGTTGAAGGGGATGCTTTTCTTTCGATTCTTGTTCCAAAGACCAGAAGAACGTACCCGACGCAACATGCTCGCTGCTCCGATCGGGGCACGGTGAAGGTATTGAATCAAGTGTTTGGGAGGTTGGCTTCCACCGATCCTCTCGCCCCCTTCGGCGCGAGCGGCTTCCGTACTCGGTGGAATCATCTGCTTTTGGCTCTGGGCGTCCCTCTTGCCAAAGCAGGTCAGGGGCTCAACCTGACGCCCGCTTGTCTGCGGGGCTCTGGCGCAACAGACTTCTATATCGCTACGGAAGACGTCCCCCGCGTCTTCTGGCGAGGGCGTTGGCGTCAAGCTTCCAGTGCCGAGCGCTACCTGCAAGCCGCCGCCGCCTCCACAGTTCTTGCTGCGCTGCCCGAGCACGCACGGGCTCGTATCTTGCTCTTCGCCACCGCCAGCGACCGCCTTGTCGCTTCGTTCCTCCAAGTCGGCCCCGCCGCTTGGCCTGCCCTGCTTGCGGCCGCCCGCCAAAACCTTGTCACTTCGCAAGGTCCTTGAGCACGGGTATGGCTGCCTCGCCGACATCGGCGACCAGACGGACTCCACCGTCTGACGCGCGGCGCCCCGGCTTGAGCGCGCGGGACGGGCCTGCCCATTTTGGGCCGCCCCGCGCGCGCACGCCGCGGCCGCGCTCGGAGACAGCTCGCTAGCGCGCGAGCGGGAGAATGCTTCTTCTATTCTCTGTGAGCAAGCTCCTGCTGTCTCCGCAGCTTCTCTGCCCCCCTCCCTCCTCTCCCACTCTAAGGCTGACGGGCGCTGCCTCGCCGACATCGGCGACCAGACGGACTCCACCGTCTGACGCGCGGCGCCCCGGCTTGAGCGCGCGGGACGGGCCTGCCCATTTTGGGCCGCCCCGCGCGCGCACGCCGCGGCCGCGCTCGGAGACAGCTCGCTAGCGCGCGAGCGGGAGAATCATCATCATCCTCATCATCAGCAATCATCATCATCATCATCATCATCATCATCATCATCATCATCATCATCATCATCATCATCATCATCATCATCATCATCATCATCATCATCTCCTCCTCCTCCTCGTCCTCCTCCGCCTCCTCCTCTCCTCCTCCCCCCTCCTCCCTCCTCCTCCAGCAGGGAAGGGGGGGGCGGCGCCCCGGCCAGGGACCCTCCTCACCCCTCCTCCTCCTCCGGCGCCCCTCCTCCTCGGCTCTCCTCCTTCTCCCCTCCCCCCCCACCTCCCCTTCCGAGGAGGAGGGCCCCTTCTCTCCTCCTCCTCCTCCTCCTCCTCCTCCACCTCCTCCTCCCCTCCTCCTCTCCTCCTGCCTCCTCCTCCTCCTCCTCCTCCTCCTCCTCCTCCTCCTCCTCCTCCCCTCCCCCCTGCTACTTCTCCTCCTCCTCCCTCATCCTCCTCCTCCTCCTCCTCCACCCCCCCTCTCCTCCTCCCTCCTCCTCCTCCTTCTCCTACCCCTCCTCCTTCTCCCCTCTTCTTCCCCCCTTCCCCTCCTCCTCCCTCCCCCCCTCCCCCTCCTCCGCCACCTCCTCCTTCTCCTCCTCCTCCGCCTCCTCCTCCTCCTCCTCCTCCTCCTCCTCCTCCTCCTCCTCCTCGCCCGCCCAAGCCGCCCGCCCGTGCGCTCTCTCCCTGGCCTGCGGGCAGCGCCTCGCCATGCGCCCCTGCGCCCCCGCCCAAACCGCCCGCCTGTGCGCTCTCTCCCTGGCCTGCGGGCAACGCCTCGCCCTGCGCCCCTGCGCCGCGGCCGGGCACGGGCAGCCGGCCCCCCATGGCGGCTCCACTACGGTTCAGTCGGGCCTGTCCCTCTACAGGAGGCCAACACTCAAGACTAGTCAGACCATCTAGTCGGGGTCAACTCTGTGAGTCAGTTTGAGCATTTTTGAACGTTTTTGGGGCCATCTTCTGCATCCGTCGTCCAAAACCCGCCTGTAGGAGGACACGCCCGACCTAAAACTATGGGGTTCCTGGTTCCGATGTTTCGCAGGGCGTTTGGCCGAGGAGGGGGGGGGATGCGGAGGGATGAAGAGTCAGAGGACGAATAGGTACCCATACCTCTACCCTTCGCCCCTTGGTCCCCTTTCTCGGCCTCCTGGGAGGCCCTCGTCGCCACTGCTGGATTCGCCTCGAAATCCTGGTCAGAACGCGCCCCCAGAGAGGTCGGCAGCGTAGCGGTATTGGTACCTTGCGGTCACCCCAGAGAGGAGCATGTGGAGCAGGAGTTAGGAGGGAGGGGGGGGAGCACGACCAGGAGCAGGATCGGGAGGGGTGGCAGCGGTGCAGCAGGAGGCGGGAGGAGGATCACGAGAGCAAGTGGCAGGGAGAATGACGATGATGCTGATGATGATGATGATGGTGATGATGATGATGATGCTGATGATGGTGATGGTGATGGTGATGGTGATGGTGATGGTGATGGTGATCGTGATGATGATGCTGATGATGATGGCGATGATGATGAGGATGTTGATGTTGATGATGATGATGACGATGATAATGATGATGATGATGATGCTGATGATGATGATGATCGTGATGATGATGATCATGCTGATGATGATGATGATGATGCTGCTGATAACGATGATGATGATGATGCTGATGATGATGATGATGATGATGATGCTGAAGATGATGAAGATGATGGTGATGATGGTGATGATGATGATGATGATGATGATGATGATGATGATGACGATGATGATGATGAGGAGGAGGAGGAGGAGGAGGAGGTGCAGCAGGGGGGGGGGGGGGGGGTGGGGGGGGGGGGGGGAGACGGGGGAAGAGGAGCGCGAGCCGG